TATATATGTGTGGTATATATATATATGCGTGTGTGTGTGTGTTCATACATATTTATATATATATACATACAGACATATATATATAAACATATAATCACACACACATATACATATATACATATATACATATATATATATATATATATACATATATATATACAAATATATATATATATCTGTGACTTATGCAAGTGCGCATATGGTTGTCTGTTAATATCACAGTACCTGCACACAGTTAATGTAGGTGAGTTTGCATACAGTAGCGAATATATCAGTGAACACGTGTGTTAAATTGCACATGCTCAGGTCGCTGCAAATTTATGATCTCAATACGAATTCATAATACCAACTTCTTCACCTTTCTGTCATTGCCTACATTCGGATTCATATGTATCACACGAACACGTATTGGACTCATCGGTGTGTGCATATACCAGTAACATAATATCTAAACATGTATGTCACTATTTAAGACTTCTTATAGCAGCGAGCAGAAAATCTTACCACGTACGTCGTTTGTACATGGTAGTACATATGGTATCCCCAATTATATATTACATATATACAGGTGATTATACGGCATTAAAGAAGACATTCCCAAACTTATCTACGAGTGTGTATATGCCAGAGACAGGTTGATTTTTGTGTTTGTATTTGACTGGTTCCAACATAACATATGCACTTCCAATCTGATATACAACTATACAACAAGATAGATGTACTGTTATATATGGACATTTACCAATATACGCCAGGTTCTTTTCTATCAGAGTTTGCTCATGTAACAAATTTCGTACTATACACATAAGATGAGCAAAGAACCGCAGAAAATTTAAAAACAGATATGCTAATCAACGCATTTCTTGGGCAAACCCGCACTATTGTGCCCAATTCTGCTTCTGCTTGAATACCTTATTCTATTCAGTGGAATCGGGTTCATGAAACTGTGCAGTCAAAATAAATACTGATGCTTAAATGTTGTACGAACATGTAGTTATGCATGATGATAATATGTTGAGTTGTCTACGAACCAAATTTACACTTTGCAGAATAGAGTGATATCTCTTGCCTTTTAAAAGCAGCTTGTATTGTACTGTCGGTGATACTTTGGAGTTTGGACTACCCTTTTTGGTGAATTGCTCAATTTGGCGGCTCGGGTTGGTCTGTGGACCCGGCCTACTACTTACATCTAAATATATACTATGTAGCTATTTTTAAAATATTACATATTTTTTTTAAAATAGTAGGCGCACTTACTCTAGAGACTCACTAGCCACAAGAGTAGACTAACTCATACTCTGGAGCCCTGGGCACTTCACTCGCAGTATGACAAGTATTTGAGACCTGAGAGGCTGAGACTGACCATATTACTGGTCTAAAATCAGAAAGTGATAAAACCTTTACTCATTCAGGGTATACTACTGAGCTACTCAGAGTCTCATAGGCTCACTACTAAAGCCTCACACTCACGACTCCACGAGTCACGAGTAACAAGTCACGAGTCACGAGTCACGAGTCACGAGTCACGAGTCATTCATGAGTCCGGACTCACGTTTCACAGACTAATTATAAAAAGTCATACTTACACGGTCACACCGACACGTCTCATCAGACTCATCACACTCGTCACACTCACAGACCACTGGGGCACTGAGTGTTTAGTGTTTCACAGACAACACAGTCTAAATAAAATATATTAAAAATAGTTCGCATAAGTCACATTGTTACAGACCACTGAGACCAGTCTCACACTACAGTCACATACTCTCCCAGACTCCAGAGGCTTCGGAATTTGGCCTTCGCGGCTTCACCCTTCGCCCTACGGGCAGCCCCTTCGCGAGGCTTTGGGCCATCGCCGGCGGCCCGGCGACCTTCGGCCTTCGGCAATCGGTATTAACTAAATGTTAACTGACGGTCTGATGACGTATCAGTCAGTCTGAGTTCCGAGTATCTGAGTCGTCCAGCTGACAGGCCGATGTATTTAAAATTCTTTTCCAGTATATTTTTCAAAATAAATGAAAATAACGTCATCGAGTTGAATCTGAATCTCTGACAGTAAATACGTCACAGATATTTTCTGACCCGTGACGCTGTGATCGTGTGACGGGACTGTCCACATTTCCACATTCCACAAACCGCCGGCCACACACATGCAGACACTGACAGCAGTCTTTCCAACTATTTCCGAACTTATTTGTATATTAGAGTATTGTTTTTATTACATTATATATTAAAAAAAACCAATAGTTGATTCTCAAGCAAACATGAACTGTTACACCTGCATATTTGGGTGTTCTTCCTTGAACCGATCTTCCGTAATCTCCACAATCTTCAAGATGAGAATTCTCAATGTTGCCATTTGATCACAAAACTTTGATCTATAATAAATATTGTCTACATAATACTTTATGTCGTTGTGTATCATAATAATCACGTTACTATACATACCTCAACAATAAATACAATTATCCACGGTAAAGTTCGTTACTATCGTTTGCATATCCTGCTCTATCCGAACCGGAGCATTGTCTCAAGCCCGAGGTGTCTGAGATCTATAACAAGCCTCAAGTGTCCGATGTTTATACCGAATCTATTCCTATTATTCATACTGGATATACAACTATTCATAAGGCAGACGTGATGATCGAAACTGTAGATTCAACTGTGACTTTGGACACCACTGAAATCCAAACTTTATGAACAATTGTACCCGAGTATGAAACATTTGTGATCTACACTATGCAAACCTCCATCAAGGAACTAACACAGGCTGAACCTGAAACCGAAACTGACACCACGGTGGACGCTGCATATACTAGTGAGGTCGAAACGACTGTACAAACGATCGAAACAATCCAAATGTCACAAAAATTGACTTCGACACCGCGGAAATCATGTTCCCCGAACAGTCATTAGTCTGGTGATTGTAAATGCAACTGAGTCCGATATCACTGTGGCGACCCTTGAAACGATTCTTCCCATTAATTTGACTGCATACACAACGTAAATAAGTGACGACTATAGTGGAAGCTATCACGCACACTTTAGCAACCACAGAGAACCACGCGGTCGAGGCCGCTGTGCTGATATATAAAACGCCTTTGGTACATATATGACTACGAACCAGTCGTTAGTGAATTTTACACATACTTTAAACTGAGATCAACAACAATGCCTACTATTATAAACGATGCTTTATAATAAGTGACAGCTTTCGAACGTACACGCCCCCTATGATTATATTTAATTATATTCGCTCGTTTAATGCTAGCACCACACAAGTGCGCACCTCTATAGCACACAGTTGTAAAAATAAGATATGAAGTACTGTATACCAGAATACACCCAGAACACCTACGTAAATACAAATGCAATACTCTGAATATACAAAAACACGGACAACTGTATACCAGCGGATACTTCACGAACTGGAAGATTTCGTTCACCCGAAGAGTCCATTTTCAATTTTTACATTTTATTGGCCATAGATACATTACACTTGCTTACTACCTCTCAACATACACAAGTCATACGGTGACCTAACGAGGCTCGCTCGTTTGTCAGTCTTGTCTCGTATTCCTCGCTCTATACACTCGCCTATGTACACTCGCAGGCTCACTTCCCCTATCTCGAGCTATACTGCATAATCAAACCTGTTGGGCATCCAGACACATAGCCGAAACGGACATAGGCACTCTCAGGTCGAACTGCTACTTTACCTGCGCAGTTGCAAGCACATGCTTGCGTTACAACACAACAAGCCGTTTCTAACCCATATGAGCACACTTCAACCGTCCACAGTGTGTGCAACTACATGCTTTCAAGTAGAGCCTATTTACAAGCTTGTGCTGGCTCGTGCTTGTACATCTGCGCATCGCGTGCACAGGCATACGATACACTACAAAAAAACATGACAGTGGCGAATACACAGAATAGAATGTTTGCCGAGTTTTCATCACTGCTGAAAATTCAGATACTATGCAGCAGAAAGCGGCAACGAGCGACTCGCTCTCTAAGGTCAAACACCACTGTGAAATCGATCCGGAGGTGACTGCACCCTTTACACAGCAGCACAGTATTCCAGCCTGAAGGCGCTCGTATTTGTGTTGGTTTACATCTCACTACAGGCATCGGACGTACCACTACACAAGTTGTTTGGGTATGAGCACATGCCTGTGCGAGACATGCTAATTGTATGGCACACTGCCACACACACTCCACCTTACGACACTAATACTAACTAGTTCGATTTCTTGCTTTCCTCGTTGGACAAGGATCGGCGCTCGTGTGAGTGCTGTAATAAGGGATAGGTAGTATATATAAAAACATATGAGCATGGACTTCTTATTGCAAGGGGGGACATTACAGCGGCATGGCGCTTGCGTAAGATCATGATTCCGGCCCGAGTTGAACGATAGTATGTATTAAAATGCCTTATAATGACCTCAAAGAAACTCCAGCTTGCAAAGGGTGTGTGACTATATTAGGGTGCGTGACTATGTTAAAAAAAGATAAAAAAATCCCTCATAGTACAATCCTCGCTGGCAATAAAGTAACAAACAACATCACACACCTTTCGTCTGAAGGCTTCGACCAAGTTGAGGTCGTGCTTTTCCCTGTGATGACCCTCGTTCCTGACGGCATTCACGGCACCCTTGAACTTGTCGCGTGCGGCTTTGTTTCCAGTGCGAGGCAGACCCCAGTCAGGCAGCAGACGGATGAGAGTCCCCACGGGAATGCCCAGTGCACCGATAACGATGGTACGGATCCATTGGTCCTCTGGCGATCAGAATGTGGGTAAGCATGGTGAGTAAGGGATTGACATGCAACGTCAACAGGCAATCACTTGAGTACTCGCGCCTATTTAGTCTGCGTAATTCAACACTATACATGCGCCTGAATAGGTACATCGCGGATATGCGGGATTCTACATTCTACAGACACAGTACCGATGACAGATAAATAGAACTCATATGCCGTTGTATATAAGAAGAACTTTTTTGGCCGTATATATGAGCCCACTATACCATATATATATATGGGTTCTAATATGTACTAACACGAGGAAAGAACGGAATAACACAATGTTCACGACACTACACTCGCAGATACCAGCATTGAGAGTTACCAGGACAAAGAGATGTACAGGCGAATTGCACTGGAGCAGATGGATGTGCCTACATGTATTTTCAAATTATGTTTGTATTTGCGTGAATCTTCACCTCACTGGCACACCCTTCAGGATACAGGTAAAACAAAAAAGCATTTACAGTTAACCGCCACTTACGGTTTAGAGGCGTGCAGCCCACCCAATCGCCACCATACTGTACCATCAGCACTTGCAAGAATAGCGTAAAAAGCATGACAATCAGGAACATAGGCGATGCGAAGAAGCCCTCGAACACATTGATCTCTGCAAGGTAAAAATAAAGTGATCGGTGGACAGGATAGTGTTACAATCAGACTCAATGGAATCGCTAACAATATCGAGGTGGCTAGAGATACAAATAGTTGTGCAGCTGTTTAAGAACTGAAGAGAATTGAAGCTACTGACAAAACCAACAATCAAAGACAACAAAGCCAGCTAACGTCGATTTACACTACAGAAAAGTAACGCAGTACCATCTCCAGTACCTCCAGAACGTTTATAAATAAAATATAAATAACCCGAGTATGCGGTGGAAACATTAGGTAAGATATAAAACTATTGCACGGGCGCGCGCACAAGCCAACATGCCGACGTGCGAAATTAGGATAGGTACAAGTGTATGTATAAACATACTGGTACACACACACACGTGTGTACACAAAAAGGGTTTAGCCTAACCTAAACCCATAAAAATAGTAAATAGTAAAGCTAAGTTCAATTATAACACCATTGCTCGTTTCGTACCGCCATGAATCTTCTTGGAGTTGATCTCGTTGAACAGCTGACACATTACGAATGTGTTGAAGAACAGTGTCATGTGCAGCAGGTGGTTAGATGCACTTTCATACGGCAGTCCGTTGTCAGTTGGTCCGAAAATCTGTGCCAAAATCCAAATTTTAGATCGATTGGACAACCATTGAGTGACGAGACTTGTAAGCCTATATACAGCCAGGGTGATATCATTGTATTCATTATCAGCACTAAAAGGATAATGCACATATGTGGATGAAAGCAGGAGGAATATACAGTTTCGAGCTGAACGTGTCAGTATTAACCCAGAACAATCACACTTTCAGTGTCAGTGATAAGTCCGTAGTGTGCTAAACACGGAGGTGCACCGGCGAAGTATCTCCGATCCTGAAGCACCATTATGCACAGCACATCCTTGAAAACTACAAGTATACATAGATTAAAAAAAAGATAGCCACACAGCATTAATATCTTGGCGAACAATTCTAACACCAAGTAAAAAATGGGCTAAATCAATTCCGCATGCTTACAGCCAGCAGCAGCAAGAAACAAAAGTATATTCTAACTACAATAAGAAAAACGTAATATATATATATATATATATCAATACAGACAGACAAACAGACATATATATATTACAAGCAAGTGAAGCTTACAAATCTGGCGGCTCCAGCTACCTAAGGTATCTTATCTAAGCTGGTACATACCGATTCAGGGTCTTTTAGACAGTAGAAGTTCACAATAAACTGGAAAAAAGCCTGACCCAGGATGTTGCGCCACATCATGCGACTGATCAGAGGCGCATTCTTGCCGTAGGGCGGGCGGTTGAGAAGGTCGGGTGATGGAGATTCAGTGGCCAAGGCCAAGGCAGCTAGGGTGTCCATGATCAGGTTAACCCACAGCAGCTGTGTTGTGTGTATATATATAAGTGTTACAGAAAGGGATTCATGATCACGTTAACGGAGAGCAGCTGCCGTATATGTGTTGTGTGTGTATATATAGTGTAAAAGAAAGGGATTCATGAAGCAGCTGCCGTATGTGTTGTGTGTACATAATACGGCGCGAGAAGACGGATCAGTCGTTTTGTCTAGCACTTTAAAAGGTCTTGCAAATGAAAAGTAGACAGAGCCAGACACAGACAAGTACCGACACAATACAAACTTAAAGCTACTGAGAATAACACACAAATGATTGCTATAATTTACCTGAACGGGTTTGAGAGGGGACTCGCCCGTTTCCGACGACAGACTACCCAAGAACGCCAAGATCACAGCCACAATATTAACTGTCAATTGGAATTGAATGAACTTGCGGATGGAATCGTACACATTTCTGCCCCAGCTTACAGCCTTGACAATCGACGAGAAGTTATCATCCATGAGAACGATATCCGACGCCTCCTTAGCCACCTCTGTGCCGGTGATTCCCATGGAAAATCCCACATGTGCCATCTGCACGTGTGTATATGGGTTGGTACATTTGTAATGTGTAATACAGGAGGGGGTAGGATATTAAGAGAAGCCAGGACATGATATGAGACTGATTGGTTTTATGTATACGTGACTAGATGTATAATATCGAAAGTACTTGCATGCTACTGATACGGGCGCTTGTCAGAGTGGACTAGTATATGAAGAAAAGCAACGAGTGCACTTTGCTATTCTCGGCGAACGCGGAACAGTATCCAATACTGAAGTGATACGACCACAAGCGCGGAGCACTTAAACCATATACAAGCCATACGGAATCAGAAAAGATCAATTATTAGAATACAATATGTTATAGGTACATGCACATAGCGTATGTGGGGTGTAGCTTGACAAGCAATTGGAGTAGGTTTGCGATACCGCAGACATTTACACAAAACACTACGTGACCCAGGAAAATATAGCTGTAAACAGGAAAAACTAGCAGTATCTTAGACAAACAAACACGCAGATGTATACATTAACGTGTGATTATAAACTGGATGTACACATGCGTGTCCGTATACGATGTATTCCTCAACTAATGCTGAAATCAAGCAGGGCTCACACAAGCGTACCTTTAGCGCAGGGCCATCGTTGGTGCCATCGCCAGTCACAGCCACAACGTGGTTGCTTTTCTTCAGTGCCTCTACGAGAATCTGTTTGTCCAAAGGAGACGAGCGAGCGAGTACTTGCAGTCGGAAAATTACAGTCATGAGCTCGTGGGGCTTGTCCTTTAGCAGACGGAACTCCGGGCCTTCCATAACCAATCCACCTGAGGTTATGAGTGGGATCAGTATAAAGAAAGGTGAATCAAATTGCTTGCGCATAGTTGTGCGCTAATACGATGTGAAACAGTAAGTCGCCTGGGGGAGATGGTGCATTGTACGCTATGAACACAATCCAAAAAAATATATATATAAGACTGCTACAAACATATGATAATACACTAAATGACCGACATAAAATAGATAAAACACTGATAAAGGCCTAAACGTGCACGAGGGCTGCCTCAAGAATAAGTAGATTGTTAATCAATGAAACATACACTGTTGAGCTTAAAAAAGATGTATGAAAACAATTACTACTTACCGGCCTTTTCGTTGTAGATGCCGCATTTCTTGGCAATGTTCTTTGCGGTGACTGAGTTGTCACCAGTGACCATTAGAGTTTTGATTCCGGCCTGTATATAGAGATGTAGATACCATGAGATATTGGAAGGCTTAACACTTCAAGTGCGAGAAAAGTACACGTTTGAGTGGACCGTGAATCAATGGATATCCAGTCGCTACAAATGATGGTATTCAAAATATAAACCAACAAACGCCAAATCTGGCGGGGAACTGTTGTGTATAGCAGGAGAATAATTGTCTATCACATTCTTCACATTGCGAACGGGTATTCACTTCCTATCTATCAGAGAAAACAGCACATAAAAACATCTCAAGCGAATCCATCGTGTATGATAAGCTGTATACATCATCACCAATAAAATAGGTATACATATTTCTAATCATATATATATATGAGAAAGATTCGAACACGAGGAAACATACCGCCGCACAGCGCCGCACAGCCTCAGGCACCTCTGGACGGATGGGATCTTCAATGCCCACAATACCCAACAGAGTCATACGTTCTGTCTCGTCAGGCTTAGAGTGTTCCCAATCTTGGTCACCATCCTCCATGTCTGTGTAACACAGGCAGATGGTCCTTAGACCTTCCGAGGCGTATTCTTGGATGATATTGTGGTTGGCTTTGGAATCGTCGGCAGTTAGGGGAACAACATCTCCTTTGGCGTTGATGTAGGTGTCGCACATGTCCAGAATAAGCTCAGCCGCGCCTGAAAGTGGGAGAGCACAAAAATCACATTAGCGAACAGGTGTGTATATATTATGCATGTTCATATATATATAGATCTGATAACATAAGTGCTTGGATTGGAATTGGTGTAGAGCGCTTATGCTTATATGGGGTTCAGCGTAGAACACTATCGGCACACAGTCGACGAACCAACATATAAGTATTGTAGAATCTTCAAGTGTTCATTCAGATATTCAATCAGAACGAGTAGCATACAGTCTATGCCGATAGCTTTATTGAACATAAACTGACTCTTTGACAATATACAAGCATAATTCGGAAGTTTGTCACGGTATGTTGTTGTGTGGAAGATGTCACGTACCTTTACAATGCAGTCTGAGCACACCACTGGGCTGCTTCACAAGCGAAGACATTCTCTTTCTGGCGGACGAGAAGGGGAAGATAGCCTTCTGATCGACACTTCGTCGAATCTAGCACATGGATGAATGTTGCAATTAGTGCGTGATATAAAAAAATTCATGCGAAGCATAAATACGAGAAAAAGTGTAAAGGTATGTTCTGGAGACACGTATAGTGACCAACTTACTATAGTAGGCAATACAAGCGGGTGCGACTATGTACACATATGCACATTTATAAGTGTAAATATACGTCATACACCAACCAAGGATGTGCATACACGGACATACCAATTTGTAATCGTATCCCATCTCCTTAATGTATCCGATGAGGGCACTCTCGGTCTTGTTTCCCACAAACTCTGTGTGGCCTTCAGGAACATATGCCGTGGTGTTGGTTGCTATGCCAACGGATAGCAGCTCAATTACTTTCTCGTCTACACGTAGTGGCAGGGGAGACTCGGTTTCCTCCAGGGTGGTGTTCTGCTGAGCAATGTATCCTCGCACAACAGTCATTTTGTTCTGCGTAAGTGTTCCTAAAGGATAGAAGGGAGCGCCGAAATGTGAATTCAATGTTTCCGAGATCAGAAACTTTGAAGAGTGTGAATAAATGTTCGACATAATAGCACTTAATACTCGGGGTTGAGCAACCTTCGGACGCACTGATCTATGCACCCATGAAGAAGTTGAGTAGGTGTATTTACTTTTGTCTTTTGAGTTTCATTTTGAACAAAGAAATAATTTGATACACAATCGCAGGTTCAACGAGGACGAAATGGGTTCTATCACGAGTATTGAGCCATATGATAGTTTCAATCATCGCGTTTCTGCCCACTCTCGTGTCCACAGAAATATACACAATAAACACATATCCTGATTTCAAAGTCTGAACATACCTATACATTGGAAATAAAATATTACAAAAATTTATGATCATATCCCAAATACACACATTCATACCGGTCTTGTCACTGCAAATGGTGGTGGCACCTCCCATAGTCTCACACGCTTCTAATTTGCGCACCAGATTATTGTCTTCTAACATTTTGATGGTAGAATAGGCCAGAGCCATAGTAACTGCCAAAGGCAAACCCTGTAATTATAAAAGTCTGATGTCAATACACACTGGATAAAGCTATGTTCTTGGTGATCTGTTAAAAGAAATTTCTTATACGAATGCTACTAAAATTAATCAGGCAATTAAGATATACGTGGACTTATACGTACCTATACCAAAAAAAAATATATATATTTGTTATTGACAGAATGAAGAAAAAAAAGTTAAAAAATGTATAATACGATCCTGTTGATATTCGCATAGACCAAAAACTGCTAAGCAATATCCAATCTGCTCATTCTATGCCTTGAACCCTATTTTCCTCTGACTGATCAGTTTTGACATACCTCTGGAATGGCCACTACTAAGATTGTGATACCCGTAATGACGAAGCGCACCAACGCAGAGACAAAGTGCTCATCCAAGGGCATGTCGTTAATGTGATATGTGTAGTACTCTCGGGCAACCAAGCAGCCGACAGTGATCACAGCCATAATCAGTCCGAAGAATCCGATCTGGGGAAAAGGGATGAAAATAAATCAGGGAACGTGTAATCGAGCACATCTAGATCACAGGAAGGTGTTTTCCATGTTTTGGAATATGCTCAGATCGAGGCTCCAGGTGTTCTAAGAATAATTATACTGCACCCATAAGAGCAAAAACACGGCCCTCCTTTCAAATAGATATGATCTCTGAAATATAATGCTATACCACCATACCTGGTTGGCCAGATCCTCCAGCTTGTCCTGCAGAGGCGTGTTCTCAGTCTCCACACGCAATCCCATCATGGCCTTACCATAGAAGGAACCTGTGCCTACAGCCGTGACCAGCATCTTACCTACACCATCCATGACCTATAAGTGACAGTAGCATATTAATAAAACATTCAGAGACTCTTGAAGTATATCTATAAACACATATACATGTGATTAAACATATGCATGTATATATACAAAACATATATACAGTACAATTTATATATACATATATATATATACATGTGATTATACATATACATATAGATTTTAGGGTATAGGGTTTCAGGGTTTAAGAAGTAAATATATATACAATACGTATATACTAAACATCAAATATGTATCTATCAACTAGTTATGCGATGTTGTGTACACTTCGCACACCTGAGCACCAGAGACGAAGAAAACATCAGCCTTCGCAGCAGTGTGCGATTTTCTGATGCGATCACTCTCTCCTGTTGCGGCACTCTCATCGCATTCAATGTTTGAGCCATACATCAGCACACCATCCACTGGCAACACATCGCCTGTCTCCACAAACAAAACATCGCCTACAACGATCTCATCCACGAGCAGCTGCTGGGGTTCTCCATTTCTAATGTGTTATTTAAGCAAAAAAAAAAGCACACGAATTCAAGACACGATCAACGAGATGATTAAGCAGAAGTCCTCGTCAACGCCACAAAGCAAATCTTCACATGGCAGCTTTAGTCATGGTTGAAATCCATGTCAACATATCGCCTTATCAGCATTTAATACAAAAAACACCTCCCCACACACCCTCTATCAGATTCTTTGAAAGAGTCCCTCGTAAACCAAATCCGCACAGGGAGTGCATGCATACTATGCATGTCGATGGATGTGTATGTATATAGTTCTAATATACCAATGTACACGAGGGAACACCTCCAATGGCGCACCTTAACGCACGCGTTCATGACAACTACTAGACCATGTATCTACAAACACACATGTAACAACAGAGTAGCTAGAGTTTATGAATGATAGAACCAATTTTTTAACGCAATGCACGTGTCACCATACCTTAAGATCTTCACCAAACGAGCATCCTTCTTGGCGTTGAGTGTCCTAAACTGCTTCTCTTTCTCGTGATCGTTGATGGCTGTGACAAATACCACAATCAGCACAGCCATGATAATCGCCGTGCCTTCAATCCACCCGGTGCTGGGGTTTTCTCGGATACCCAAGATAAGACTTATGATGGCACTTCCGGATAGAAGGATCAGGGTTTTGTCCTCAAAGCCTGGGTGGATAGAGATTGGAGTTGCCCCAGAGGTTCAGTACAACAAATTTCAGAATATTTGATGTTGTATGGAATAAACAATGTGGTATTTTCAGTGGATGTGATTCATGTTGGTGGATCGCTACATTCAAATGTGATCGCTTCCAGACATTGATGTTTAAATCCTTCTATCAAAAATTGACTGCGTTTGGTACGAGTTATTGTTTACTATTGAGCTATGGTGCCAGTAGATATTGATTTGTCTGCATGTGGCGCACTATTGTTGGTCCAAAAGAATACATGGTTTCTGACCGGACCAGATGAATTGTATATATCAGACAGACGGACTGATCCAAAACGTGGCGTAGATATCTATCAGAGATATTGCTATTGAAATTTACACTCTAGCACTACATAATTACCCTGCACGCTTCACATTTTATAGATACCACTAGTACAGTTTCATTGCAATACATTGCTTATCTCACGAATATGGGGAAAGTCGACGGACTTTATGCCGTACCGGAGAAGACTAATAATGTTTTCAAACACACGCAGACAAGCTATGTGCCATGGTAAAACCCGGACGATGAATTCTGACACGAATACGCATGTGCGGGTGGAGCACAGACATATAAATCTAAGGAAGAAACGCGACAAAAAAAACACACTAATGGTAACTGATATCTGCGATTGTAGACATTCGGATATTCTATACATTAAATCCATGCATGGTATATATGTTATAACAAATTATAGCAAGCACAGAGAACAATATCGAGTACATATATAGATACCTTCCATTACTAACTCCCAGAAAGATTTGATCTCAACTTCGGGCAGAACATTTGGGCCATATTTCTTTCTGTGCTCCTTTACCTGTTCGTTGCTCAAACCAGTCTTTAGGTTGACGTTCAGGACCTTCGCAATACCGTCGACTTTACCTGTCCAAATAATTGTTGCACAATTTCGGATGATTCATAAAAAATGTACAGATGAACATCGCATATGCAGGAACATACTACATTTAAACAACAACTAGATATCTATATGGAAATGCATAGGTACACAAATATATATATGTATATATACACACGCACATATAAATGAAACAACAGAAACAGAAACAGTAACAGTAACAGGCACAGACACAGATGCTATATATATATATACATATACATATGTATACTTATATATATATATATATATATATTTATGTATATATACACAACACACATAAGTGATTAACATTGTGATAGATTTTTTTTTGCATTTACCAAATATTTACACATAGATTGATATTCAATTCATGTAATTTCTACAAGCTTCGTCTGTGCCTATTGTTCATTTTTTTTACAAACCCACATGCGTATATTTAAAAGATCATACCTAGATCATCGTACGGTTGACGTGTCTTGGGGTATGTGACGACTTCTTGTAGCTTCAGCCCTAACGAGTCGACGGGCACCATAGTGAAGGACTGCAACCAAAGCGTCTCGTGATGCCAACCTGTACAATTTGAGCATACTGTTAGTGCTAATGGGTGATATTTTTAAATCACAAGCCTGTGTGTTTTAGATATATAGTGTGGACATTGACTAGTATATTTCTGTTGACAAATACTGTAAGATGTATAGCTGGTAATTATACGGTGTTATGATCGTCAATACGACTGTAAACCTGTTTGGATGTATGAGGTTTGAGTGACAACTTGTGGACATTCGGGTAAACTACAAAAACCAATGATGCAGTGATACATACTCCACCCTTGCTGAGAAATACAGCAGTAGATATGTACATACCTCAACTATAAAACACACTATTGACACGATATTAACAACATATACAAACAAAAACAGTTCCATCATTAAACGTTATTTATTGGTATGCATCAGAGAGACGCATTATTATCTTTCTATATACAATGGTATTTACGTCAATGAATACATTTGTGAATACTAACACAATTAAGCTTTCAAATGAAATCCCAAGCTCACTGCTCCATTTCCTAGCTTGCATATATACATATAATATATATATATACCTTACCCATACATACATACATATACATATAGAACGATAGATATAATACATGATACATAATATATATATATATACATCAACACACACACATATATATATATATATATATATATTATATATATATATATTATATATATATATATATATATATATATATATATATATATATATATATATATATATATATATATATATATATATATATATACTACTACTACTACTACACACTACACACACACACACACACACACACAC